GAATAGTTGTCCATTCAAGAAAAATGTTAAAGAAAATAGAATATTCCTCACCCATTTTAAAACCAACTACCAAGAGACTAATATCAACATGTTAAGATAGTTTAGAGGACTAATATCTAAATATAATGATTTGAGGGACCAATATCAAAATAATCATGATTTAAGGGGCTAATATGTAAAACACCCAATTACATTATGATGATAATACAAAGACAAGAGAAATGAATACATTGACACCACAAAATAATCTTTTAATTGGTATCACTATTAGGAATTAATATCTTTGACTGTAGGGAAGTCATATAATTATTGTATGTAGATGGATAATCTAGGAAACAAATATTGATAGTGACTGGGTATTCAATACATCTAGAAAAGCTTAGTGGCAATTATCCAAAAACTAGGCCAGTTCAATTCTGACACAGTTTATACTAAATTAATTTAGAGTTGAACCAAGGCATGGTGGTCTACACTAAACTAGTTTTATGCCCTCGTTTTTAGCCTTAGAAGAACTGAGATAGATTTGACATGTTTTTACCAGCTAAAAAACAAAACTCAAAACTGCACTAGATTCAGTCCTAAGCTAGTTTTAAGAGTTTACCAAACAACACATTTACAGAAAAAGATCATCCTTTGAATGCCCCACACATGACTTTGACATTTTAGAGGATCTGATGATGATTCTGCTAATTAACTTCCCCATGGAAAAATACACATGATATACGAATCCTTTGCATGGAGCCAACGTGAACTATATAGGAAAATCAGCAAAGGATTAAAGTTATGCCCCTATGTTTGATGGTCATTTAGAGGTGACAATGCTATGTTCCTTGTTGTGTAACGAAGATAAGTGTCCACCAAAATCATCAACATGTAGAAAAGGTGTTAGGTGATCCATGTCCGTGGTACTAAATGTACACTAAATGAATATAAGCCATTATATATAACTCTCAGAAGTACATAAAAATTGGCATAACCCAATCGTAATAAGGAAGAGTCGACCTGATTAATTTTATACATACACTATCTATATATATATATTAATATATATATATATATATATGATATATATATATTTAATATTATATATATTATATAATATATTATATATATTTATATATATATAATATATATATATATATATATATACAATAATGACTAAGAGCAGAATTTAAGCCAGTAAAGCATATGTACAATACCCATAATCATAAGGTTGACAACAGAGCCTACAGAATGCCAGAATAATAGAAAGCTAAAGGAACAATGATACATCACAAGTCTAATAACAACTCTTAATACATGTTAGTACATGTCCACCAATCAAAAGTACTATAAAAGTATATACAAATTAACTCCTACCATGATTTGCAACTAGAGCTAATCTTCTATGTCAGGGTCTGCGATCCCATTGCCCTTGTTAACTATATGATCAACAAATGGATGTAAAAACAATAGGGTGAGTCTAAGGCCCAATGGGCAACCATAAAAGTCTCGGGTAAAGCGTAGGTTAATGAAGAAATATACATTGACATTTGAAATTGAATGAATGGATCTCAACAATAAGCTATCAATACTCATATCATGATTATTGATCGAAATAAAATAACAGATATCAATATGACTAATCAAGCTCTAATACTCAGGATTTTCAAATTTCTCTAATCATGTGATATATCAATAAACCACACATACCTTTATACACCCAGCAATGAGCATCCTCACATGGGCATGTCCAATCGAGACCCACTTTCATTACCACCCACCGGTGAAGCTTACTTCACACAGGGCATAATCCATGATTATAGAGTATCAAAAATTAGTAAATAAAAGAATAGTATCATTCTCAATAATGAAATCATCAAAGCAAGTCAAATTACCACAATATAATCATTCAGAGAATATCAATGATATGATATCGAAATGAACAAACAACGGGATAGCAATAGCTAAGCAATCAATAAATAGCTCATGTATATAAGTAATTCAAATAGGAATATTATAAGAGCAGATCAGGATTTGTTAATTTATAAAACTGAGCATCAAATATCAACTCGTAGGAATTTCAAGGAAGTAATCAATCCAACTCTTAAGAATTGAGAGGAAATAATAAAAGGTTACCTACCGTTTGTGCCGGATTTCTCAGTATCGACGAATGAATCCAAAGGTCTTGCCCCTATATACACATACATGTAAACCCATATAAGATTCTAATAAACTAGTTCTTGGTTATTTTCCTGATCTTATAACTACATGCTATCCTCTAAAAGAGAATACTCAACACTTATGACATGCACAAATAGCGAATGCAATGTACATGTAGCAGATTGAGATAGATGGATGAAAGAGCAACCAATGTCCAAAATTAGTGAATAAAAGTTAAGTTCCTATACAAGTCTAGTTTTGAAAACTTGAAGACTTTCCTGCATGCAAGCTTCTTAGAGAAAGTTATACTCTCTATAAATGCACAAGGGTTAGGATTTCAGACTAGTGCAAGAATAGAAAACACCTGTAATTCTACCTGATTCTTTCAGGTGACAACTATTATCAATTTATACTAATAATTCTTTAGTACGTTCCTTGTTAAACATAGTTATAAGTTATATATTTTTTTACTCAATCACAAACAGATATTTAGATACATGCAAAATATCCAAGAATGGCAGACTACATATTCTGTGCACATATATTGAATAAATTCACAAGTTCGATCAAGTAAATGATCACAAGATTGGATAAAATTAGATTCAAATGAATGATATGTAGATCTAGTTTCATAATATCTAATTAGATTGCAATTATGACTAATACTCATGGAGATATGGATAAGATAATGCATGAGTATCATGGAGGTACTACCACACATATTCTAATACACATAAGATAGATCTGGTCATGAACTAGAGATAGCAAATGACATTAAAAATGAGCCAAAGTGATTTTAAAAGAAAGTAACATTAGTATTGTTTCGGGAAAAAGAAAATTTTCATGCATGCAAGATATATATTGAGAGTTATGCTCTTTAATAAAAATGTCTCAAGCAATCTATTTAAGAAATATCCAATTATACTAAGCATTCAAGATAGCAAACAACATCCAAATTTAACCAAAACAATTTCAAAAGTAAGGCACATTGTGAAGATTTTAAAATAGAAAATTTTACTTGAAAAGGATATTCATAGATAAAGTTATAAAGAACATGGTATCTTGTTGAAAATTTTGCACAAAGTTATGCTTCAAAAGGGAACATGCAAACCTTGTACTTGAACATGCACTCCATAAGATCATCAAGCAAACCCATAAAACCACTATTTATTATATGCAAGAATAATTACACAGGAAAATTATATTTTCTATGCTCCAATGCATCAAGATGGCGTCTTTATTAGTAAAGAAGCGTTGTGTGCTCACAAATCACATTCCACCTTACATGCAAGCATTAATCTTACAAAACAACTCATGCATGCCTAAAAAATTGACTTACATTGATGTCATAACATATCTAAACCCAAAATGAACATAAAATAAGCTTTAATTGAATTTAATATCTAAAAGAGAGGTTATATGCAAGAACTCTTCCAAAACTCCTTTCTAGCTTCACAAAAGTCTTGATCTTACTTGGCTTGAGGGTGTAGAGGCTTGAGAGGAGATAAATGATGAATTTTTTTAATAGATGGGGCCTAAAATCTAGGTCGATCAACGGAGGTGAAGGGGAGAGTTTTTTTTTGGAGTTTTCTTGAAATGAGAGAGAGAGAGAGAGAGAGAGAGAGAGAGAGAGAGAGAGAGAGAAATGGATATGAAGTGTTATATACTCTTTACGAGTTGTAGGGGTTTCATGAGGGTTTTTGTGCAAAATTTCCTCACTAACATGGCTATCCCAAAATTTGAAGTGATAACTATATAGTTTTGAAATGGTAAATTGTTATTTTGTACTAGCTTTAATCAAGTTTCAAACCATGGGTAATTAGGGTTTCATGCTGATGGTCATTGTGAACACTATAAGTTGACTAATTTCCTTAGTCAAAGCATGGATAGATAAAATTTGTTACACTTGTAGGTTTTTAGACTCATGCTATCAAGATCATGAATAACCAATTTTAATTCAGGGTCGATACCGATAATAGTATTCGACTATTAGAAAACAAGAAAATTACATCCTCTCCCCCTTAAAGGAAATTCCGTTCCTAAAATTTTATGTACCCTTAAAATAAATGCGGATATATCATTCGCATCTCGACTTCTGGTTCCCATGTTGCCTCTTTAACCCCTTGATTGTTCCACAACAATTTAACTAGAGATGCATACTTGTTCTTCCGTTGTTTCTCCTTGGAATCTAACACTCGAATAGGCCGTTCCTCATAAGATAGATCCTCCTGCAAGGGCAAAGCTTTGTAAGAGATTATGTGCCCTAGGTCTAACACATATTTTTTCAGATCGAAGACGTGGAACGCATTGTGAGTCTTCTCTAAAGCGGTAAGGCTAGGCAATAAGCAATACGTCCGATCCTCTCTAGTATCTCAAATGGTCCAATATACCTCAAATGGAGTTTCCCTTTCTTTCCACCTTTCGATACACCTTTGTTTGGAGTAGCTTTTAGAAATACATGATCACCAACTTGGAACTCTAGGTCCTTGTGTCAAGGATCCGCATAATGTTTTTCTACTTAGCCCCATCATCATATGTTGTTGAATGATTTTGATCTTCTTGGTCATCTCCTGGACTAAGTCAGACCCAAATAGTTAACAATTGCTAGTTTTTTCTCAATAGATAGGGGACTTGCAGTGCCTCCCATATAGAGCTTCATATGGTGCTATCCTGATGCTGGAACAAAAACTATTATTGTAGATGAACTCATCTAACGGTAAGTGCGCAGCCCAATTGCCTCCAAAATCTAAGCTTGTCCTCCAGGGTATGTATCGTTCTCTTTAATTGCCCATCAATCTAAGGATGTGCTAAAGTGCTAAACTTCAATCCAGTCCCCATAGCTCTATGTAGACTCTTCTAGAATCATGAGGTGAAATGGGGGTCTCGATCATATGCAATAGATATGGGAACTATGTGAAGCTTCACAGTCTCTTCAATGCACAGGCAGGTCAACTTCTCCGTGGTATATAACATCTTGTAATGTATGAGGTATGCTAACTTGGTCAGGCAGTCAACTAACACCCATATAGCGTCCTCTCCTTTTGCTGAATGGGATAGTCTAATAACAAAGTCCATAGTGATATGGTCCCACTTCTATTCTGGGATGGGCAAAGATTGCAACGGTCCTGATGATTTTTATGTTCAACCTTCACCTATTGCCATGTTAGGCACTTTTATACATATTGTTTGGCATTTTGATACATATTTAGCTATCTCCCCCTTCATGCTATTTCACCAAAAATTCTTTTGAAGATTCTGATACATCTCAGTGCTACCTAGATTAAAAGTATAAGGGGTCTAGTGAGCTTCCCTCAATATTTGCTCCTTGAACTCCTCATCATTGGGTATGCAAAGACGATTGTCCATCTTTAAAACACCATCTTGAATCTAAAAGTCTGAATATTTTTTTGCTCTACCTTCTTCTTTATCTCACTTAGCTCTTTGCCTTCTTTCTGCCGCACGCGCCTGGCAGTCGACCGTCGCGGCATCGCGGTCGACCGAGCTTCAAAACCTGAAATAAAATTTGTGATTTTATGATAACAAAAGTTCTAACTTCTCTAAAATCATACAGTAGAAGAACAAGAAAATTTTAAGCATGTAAACCACCTCCCCAAAATTCTAAAAACAAAAGAAACATGTTAAAAACGTTTTGATAAAGTAAAATGATTTAACTCTTGTTTAAGCAAATTCCAGATCTATATCTTCACTAAACAGAACATTGGTGAACTTTTATAAACTAAAATCTTTGATTCTTGCAATCCATATTATAGAGAACTCATTTTTTATACAAAAATACCTTTTGGGCTCATCAAAACTCATGAAAAATTAAAAGAAATTTGTAGAAAATATAGGTGAGGGATTGGGCGAGATGATACTAGCCTCAGGTGCTGCCGAATCCCCTGAAGATGATTCTCCTTCAACCTGAACTGCGAAATCCCACCGCAAACCTTCGAACTTCCCAAAAACGCCAGATCCAGCTAGGGTTTAGAGAGGAGAGAGAAGGGGGCTAGGGTTTTAGGTCTCAGATGAAAAGAGGTCCTCTTGGGTTTGATTAGTATATATACTAATCCCATAACCCTACCCGAAACCCGATAAGACCCAAACAACCCGTTAAAACCCAAACCCAGACGACGTCTCTGTCCGTTGCGCGGTCGACCGCCGCGATCGACCGCACAACAGGAAAAGAGTTCCTGTTGTTGCTGGACTATCCATTTGATTACTCTCACTTATAAATACCTGTTAGGTTCCCAAACACTGATAAACACATTCATCTTATATATATATGATTATTTATCACAAAAGAAATATTTATTACTATTAATTCACACATTTTCATTATAAAAATTTTGGGGTTTTACAATGTTGATATCCGTGGACCACCGTCGATCAGATCTGATTGCTAAAAAAAAAAAATTTTGGGGTTTTACAATGTTGATATCCGTGGACCACCGTCGATCAGATCTGATTGCTAAAAAAAAATCGGGCAGAGCTTCGTTGATTTGCGAAGGAATCAAGAAACTGTAGCGCTTATCTCGGCAACGGCGAGATAATTGCTCTTCTTAAGATTATCGCAACGGGATAATCTTAAGGAATCGACCTGGGGAACTGTAG